CGCGTGTATATATATATATATATATATATATATATATACCCACACACATAAATGTTAAACTCTCTGTTCGCCCCCGTAGTTTTGGTAAAGCTTTGGACTTTCTTGTACAGAGGAAATGGTACTTGTCGGACTTGGTAAATTTATTTCTGAATTTGAAGCAATTGAAATAGTTTCTTCTATGGATATCTGATTCTTTCGCAATACTGGTGCCACGAAATTTTGACCCGTCGAGAGATCTCTTTTTGGTACTGAAGCCTAATAAAAACAATTAAGAATTAACATTCTAAAGTCACATACATTAATTATTAATAATCATTCAATATAATCTACAATTTTGAATGAAATCTTCAATAGTGGTTTTTCGTTAAGCTATTTAAATTATAATACCTTAAGTTTCGATAACGGCAATGTAGCGCCGGTTACCAGGCCCAGAATACTCGCACAGAGACCAGTGAGTTGCACTGCAGCTAACGAAGATAGACCAACTCTTACCAAGCCTAAAGCTAAAAGAGCAGCTTGCGCTAAAACTGGTGCAGCTCCTGCAGCACCAACTGCTGCTCCAGCTAATTGGCCACCGCCAATACTCGGTCCATATGCGAAGCATAGATTATGCCTGTCCACCTAATTAAGATAATAGTTTCATTCAGGACATATTGTCATAATCATAAGTGTAAGATATTGTCAAAATTATTGTACCAGATGCTTGACTACAAGATATAGTAGACCGAAAGGAGTTATTAAGGGACACGCCAGACTGTAGACGGTTGTCATAGTGAAAACTAACAATAACCACGCATAATGAGCTCCTAATGGAAATTCCCACAGTACCGCTTTCCTGACATGTATTCTTTCGGCCCGACTGCGAGCTATACAGAGTCTGAAAGTGTATAGCGCGAGTTCCGGAAATCTAACCAATTCTAATCCACTCCCAAATAAGGCTGCAGTTATGACATAATTTACAAAAAGTGCGCCCTGCAAATTTTATATTCTTATACAAATCTGGTCATATGAATATCGAAATAGAAGGAGAAAGATATGCTTTCTTATTGAATTAACTTAAATGCGATATTTTTTACTGTCAGAAACCTCACCTGATCTGGCAAGAATACACATTCCCATTGTGCCGTATTATTTCGCTCATACATAGTCCAATCTAGGAATGCTGCAGCACTGGTTAATCCTAAACTAGGTAATATAAGCACCATTAATAGCAACAGAAGTAATGTTTTTCTCATAACAACACGATTTAAGCTGCTTCTTGTCCAATGTCTCACGAGTGATTCGCTTCTCCCGACTAATGCAGGCATTAGAGCAGCTACACTGACTAACAATACAGTAGGCAGAAAAGATGAAAGCACTGGACTAAGAATCTTAATTTCTCCAATTGGTAATTTGTTAACAGTTGTCACTATGATCTAAAATTTTAAAAATAAATAAATTAAAATAAATTACATTAAAAAAAATAAATTTTTTAACACAAAAATAAATTTTTTATAAATAAAAATAAAAAAAAGAATTAATTAAAGATTAAAATGTTATTTATTGTTTCAAATGCCATAAGTGTCAGTTTCTTTGCTATATATGTGTTTAAATGCGTCTTTTTTTTTTTTTTTCTTTGTATAGTTTTCATTGTGTAATGTACTCTTGCTAAGAAATTGCTAAAAGAAATTGACTTACAGCTGGTGTAGTAAGGAAAAACAATATAAGTCCCAAAGCGCAATTTATTAATACAGCATTCAGATACCAACACGGCCTGGGGATGCTTAAATTTTCCCAAAATATATCTGATGGCATTGGTGCATAATCCACGATCCATTTTATATTCGGCGAGGACCTCAGCTGTTTGCGCATAGTTTTAGTAGCACCGGGTGTTCCTATTAATTATTCATTATGAATTTGTTTATAATTAAAGAAAGTAAGGAAAACGTTATATAATATTACATAAAATACCTAAAGTTACAAAAGCAACTCCAAGAGTTTTACTAAGTGCCACATTCTTTTCTTCCTCAACTAGTGCTGTTAAGCGTATTTCCTCATTGGTGTAGAATTCTTGAGCATCCACTTGCTATAAATGCAATGATTCAAATTAAAGATAAGAACTTGCACGATAATATATGTATATAAAGTAATCAATTTTATTCTCGCATACGTTCATATTTTATTGATACATTTACCTTGTTACAACAATATCCAAGAATTTGACCACATGGATAAGGATACATTTTCAAAGGTTCTCTCTTCTTAGCATAACTTTCGCAATATAAACGCGCCTGTTCCGCACAATCTCTTTCTTCATCCAGTTTTGAAAGACGTCTTATATCGTGAGCCAATGTAATATCTTCTACTGTTAAGGCAGGGAATGCTTCTCTGAAAAGATTAACATATAAAAATAAGCTCAAAAAATAGAATGATAAAATTTTTTTCAATTTCTTTTAATATCAATGACAAATATGAAATATGCCAAAAAAGAAATTAGAGAAGGTCCTTTTCTACGTACTTAAAATATTCAGTAAGATTCTCAACAGTACATTGTTGTTTCGGTATGTCTGTAATCAATAATGTTCTCGCTACAAATTCTCCAGTAGGCCTAGTATCTCGCACCTATATCACAAACACATTCTCATTTGTAATACATATATTATATAAAACATTCATATCCTTTGAATATAAAAAAATAAAATATATCTTACAATATACTTAACTGATTAATTGGCAATACCTGTTTTAAACGACGTCTCATGATAAATCCACCAACTGGCAGATAAGATAAGAGCAGTACTGTATACACCCAAAGCCCAAAAGATGTGGGCTCCAGATTTGACAATGTTGTATGACTAAATGTTGCGCTGTCCCCTGGCTGCATGCTTCCGTGAAAATTTATTGGTAGGGCTATGCACAGCGATACAATAAGCATCATGATGGTCAATATGATTAAGCAACGTTCGAACATAATGTATAACAATCCATCAGGTCCTGCACGTTGCAATAATTCATCGTCGCTGTAATAATAATATTATTTTGAGCAAAATAAGTTATTAAAATGGCAAGACATGAATAATAAGATGTTTTAAGCGCATTGACAAGAGAATTTTTCCAAGTGTCACTCTGATTTCAGAATGAAACTCTGGTTTTGAGATTTTGCTTTTACCAATAAAGGCGAAATCAAAACCAGAATTGGGAGTTCCCTTATGAGTACTAACGTAATTTTAAAAGCGGTAACAATCCATGAGAGAAATCCTCTATCCAGCTGAGAGAGTTGAGAATTGACAGAAGCTTCGACACATAAGGGATCAGTGTCTCTGTTTTCATTAACACCATAGAACAGCTCCATCCATCTATTATCAGACTTGTGTAACAATGCGAGACGTCCATAATTCCATGCTTTCTTACGTAATAGACCAAATAAAATAACTAAAAGCTGTCAAGAATATATTACATTAGACATCACAGTTTATAACTTATTGTCAGTAGAGTACATCAGTATCTTGCAAAATATATATCATTATCTTTCTTATACTGACATATCTCTCAAATAATAAAAAATAAGTCAAAGTCTTACCAAAAATCCTATTGCATTCAGCAACAGGTTCTCAGGTATTCCAGCATATACATCTGTGATTATTGTTCTATTATATCTGGGGAATGGAATGCATGTGTCTGCAGAAGGACCATCGTGCACTGTAATGCTGAAATACATAAATATATTTAACATTATAATGAACAATGATATAATAACCATGAATTTAATACTGTAAGTGTTATAATGTGATCTATAACAATGACATTCTGCATCCGTTGTTCTCAACAGTGAACATATGTAATCTTTTCGTCTTTTGATAAGGAGCAATTTAATAACGTAATTATTAGTATAATTAACAGTACATTAAGATATGTATAATCTATTTAAGAATATGATACAATTTTTAAAAAATGTGCAACGTATTATTCGATTATTTTACTCGCGCGGGCCAAGTGCTTCGAGCATTGTTGTCAATTTCATTATACTCGTCGACGTGTGCGCAAAAAATAATCACGATTGTGCGAACAATGCGAAAGATAAATACGATAAGAACTAAAGCGCGACTATTATCGTGCGTGATCATGAAGAAAGGAAAAGGAGAACGCGCAATTACGGCACGGTTTTGCCACTCACTTTTCGTAGGTGTAATCCATGGTCAGCCGTAAATGAGACGCGTAAATCAATGCGCCGTTAAACAAATGCGAAGGTACATATTAGTAAACGCGTGTTAATTTGACACATCGCATCCCGTTCCCATGCGTGCTGCTAGAGCCTGCTAGTCGCACGAAAATACTCCGCAAATGTAACTTAACCTAACCTGAATCCGTTCCTTGCACGCAATAGTACGCGAAACGTCATTTCAACGGGCACGCACATAAACACACACTTGCACACGTTTCGTAACGCTAGGAGGAACACAAACGAATTTTAATTGAACTTACTTGTCACTTTATATCCAGTAATTCTGTTTTTCAAAAATAGAGTGCAAACACTTGTAGTATAACACTTGTAGTAATATAACACTTGTAGTAATATAAAGATAAAACATAAATATTTGTTTTTAACTTGATAAAAAATATATAATAAATAGTATATATAATAGATAGTACAAATTTTTTATTGGAGATTTATTGTGTGTTACACATCAATAAAATGAAGTATGTTGAGATATGATAGATATTTAGAAGTTTAGAGCAAGATTATGTAAAAAAACTGTAATTTTAACATATATATTTTTATATTATTTGTACATATATTATAAAATAAATGATCGTAAAATATATCTATATAATCCGATTTGTAATAACAAATTAAGGTAATATTATATACCAAGAAAAAATATTTATAGCTTATTCACATCATTTATAAACTGAAATCTCGCTTTATACATTTATACAATTGCTTTATAAATTAAATTATTTACATCAGGGATACATCGAATCAAATAAAATTATCAAATATTGGATATCCGATATGGCAATCCGACCATATATTTCTCTCCGGTTGGATATTTGGTATGACTTCCAAAAAAAAATTAGACAAAATAAAATTGTCTATGCAAACTTTTAAAATTTCAGCCAAATATATTACCGGATACTAATAATACCCAGTTATCCAACTGGATAATAAAAAAGTACTAGATAATATCAAATATCGGATATTTCTCGGATAACCGGTGCCTCCCTAATTTATATACTCTATACATAAAAAGCTATAAATATGCTGTAATATAATAACTTAATTTTTTATATATGAACTTCTTTCATATAATTTTTTCAATAATATATATGAATAAATTAATGATACTAGTAATACTAATTGTGAAAATATAATATAAATAATATTTTTCACATGATCTCTAAACTATTGGACAAAAAATAATTATTTAGTATACAAATGTCTTTTATGCTATAATATCGTCATATAAATCTTCATTTGTATGATATTTGGATAAGTATTTTTCAGTCTATTTCGCGTTATTCCATTGATAAAGCTTAGTCAATTGTAGTTCACCCGTTGTAATAGAATCTATAACCCAGGTTTCCTTTAGGCCATTTGTGCCAATAATAATTTTAGCAAGCTTGATATTCTCAGTAATGTGTCCGCCTGCTGTCTTTATAAGTTCCTTAAGCGTATTACACGGTACGGTTGTTTTGTGCTCGATGTACATGAATCCACATGCGCCGAACAATTCTGGGATATACGAGGGTCCAAATAATTGCCTGTCTTTTCGATTTTCCTGCAAAAGAATATCTATATAACATGCGAGTAGATTTACATTGTATTCTACATTTATCACGTATGCGTGTCTTACCTGTACGGCTTTAGAGAAATGTTTCATCTCAAACATTTCTGGATTCAACCATCCGTTGTTTTCCAAGGATTTCAGAACCCACTCTAAAGAAACAAGCCAACAGCCTCTTATTATACTACGGAGGAGATTCACTGTACGCACACCTGTACTCACAACGTGAGTCGTCCGTTTTGATACATTTAACTCCAACTCTGCCGCGCCAAGTGATTTGACAATACTCTTTACCAAACTTTTATCCCTATACACAAAATATAGAATATAATTTTTATGTGAAATAACATCGAAAATTATTTCAATTTGAAAAGGATTAGAAACGCTTAGAGATAAGTTATGATTATTACTCTTTTGATAATCCAGTTGTTACGATGATAATCTTTTGGGACTGGTATTTATTCCATTGAATAGATGTTATACGACATTTTACGAAATCATTTAAGGAATCTCTACTTTCTACTGAATTATTTGCTTTATTCTGTCTATTCCTTTCTAACATATTCAACACTTTTTCGTCGGCAAATTTCTTGATAAAGATTTTTTTGCTAATAACTTTTTTCGGTTTTCGCGTTTTCTTCTTATCTTCAAGTATATCACAATCACTATCTGATTGTACTTGTTTGCTTGGAATATCGTGCTTGATGTTATTTACATTCTTGGAACATATTGATTTTCTTTTTCGAGGCTTTTTCTTTATCCTTTTGTTTAGTTTTGTAGACGTCGATTTCTCAGGTGTACACTTTCTTTCTTCTATTGGGCTGATTGAATATTGAGAAATTTGGGTAAGTGGCAATAATCTTCTCTTTTTCACTGGAGTATATTTCGTGTTTTGTACAAATATATTTTCGCCTGTTTCAGACTTTGTTCCATCAGACGTACTTTTGATAACCGTCAATTGATTTTGAATAACAAAAGGATTTTGGTTAGGTGTGTCTTCCAAAATAACTGAGTTAACTTCTGTTGTTTTTTGCATTTCAGTCGACATATGCATTTCATTTGTAACTTTTGAATGTCTAATAACATAAAAAATATTAATTATTAATAGTATTAATTTATTAAACAACAGTATGTAAATCATACAGCAATAATATTTCAAAGTATAATATGTTTAACATTATGTACATTTGAATACTTACAAAGCAAATGACTTAGTTTCATCAATTTTCTTTTTATTTTCTAATGAATTTAAATTGCTATAAGTGACTGTATTATCCAAATGTTGTGTTTTATATTTTAATTGTGATTTGAACAAATCTGAGCGGCTTATTGGATATGGAGTTCCCTCCATGTAACTGTAACTATCTCTAGTGTTACTCGAACGTCTTTTGTCTTCATCCTTCATTTTAAAAATTTTCGATTTAGGTTTATGAGAAATCTTTTCATTTCTCATAGAGATATTTCTTAATCTCTCAGTTAAACTGATGTTTTCTAAAGAGTTTATATCATTTATTTCCTTATCTCCTGTTGATGAACATTCCATGTCCATACTAGAATGATCTTTATCACTCTTATCGCTTCTCCTTCGCCATTTGTGCATAAAATCTACCGATGTATTCATTTGCAACGAAGTTCGATTCGTATTTGTGCTTTCGCGTTGATCATTCAAAATTATTGATTTTTTATTATTAATAACTTCGAAATTTTGATTGGTGTTGTCCGTTCTGTGATTTCTTGATTCCCAAACGTCCCTTGCTTTATTAATTTCAGTCACATCTGCATCCAATGAAGTATTTACATTTAAAGATGATCGAATCGTATTATTGCTATTAGACAGAGACATCATATTACATTTCTCATTTTGACATTTAGCTTTACTGTCGTGCTCATGTGCTTGCAGTACATCACTTTCAGTAATTTTGTTTATAAGTTCATCTTTTAGTCTCGAACTAATTCCTGTTTTGTTTCGCTCTATACTTTTTTTTTTAGATTTCTCTTCTTTGTTTTCGTTATAGTTATTTATATATGAATTTCTATTTTGTACAGATATGCGCTTTTCACTCATATGAATGCCTCCATGAACTTCCGTCATCTCCATTGACGTTACTTTAGTCGTTGTATGTGTGGCACGAGATGCGTCTACATCATTAATTTCTTTTTCATCCGTTGCATTATTCTCAATGAAAGTAGAGCAAACAACAGGTGTTTCTATATTGAAATTCTGAACGGAGTGTATAGTCGAGAATGTGTTGTTCAGGTTTTTAATGTTATTTTGAGAATGCAACTTGGATCTTCTGACCAAACTGAATCTTTTGTTACTGCCGCTTAATATAGGACTGCTTTGAGTTGCTTGTCTTAAAGAAACTAATGGAAAATTTTTCTTCAGAACAACATCTTCAATAATTTTACATTTGATTTGCCCTTCTACCAGCTTATTTTTTTCAACAAATAGTCGTCTTTGAGTTAATCTAGATTTATCTATATTTTTCTCCAGACTTCTCCGTCTGTCATTATTCGATGGTGTAGTAACAATATTGGAGTATTGATCATCTCTTTTCTGATCGTTCACTACGAGTTCATTATGAGTATATTGTTGATGCTCCCTAGCAGCTGTCTCTTTCAGATCAGTCATGTCTAGCATAACTGTTTCGTTTTCCATGTTTGGATTACGAATACTGCTTGTAAAACTATTTTTCTTATTTCCCAATACCTTCGTAATTTTTACAGAAAGCTCGTTCTCTTTGTCAAATATCTGTTTAGTTTTGGATAAGATTGCATCCTTCAAACGATTGCAATTTGTTTCGAGGTAGCGTTCTTTGGTACTTACATCCTCCAGATTTATTGTAAGATGTTTCAGTTGTATTCCCTTCTTGATTCGAATGGAATTATCACTGTTTTTATCTACAGCATACTTGTCTGTATCGTTTATGGCTCGCATATCTTTGTTGTTAAAATCAGATTGGTGATTCTTCTCATACATACTTTTCTTTCTTGACAATCTTTTAATAGTTCGCACCGTATCCATTTCTCCTTGGTCATTCTTGATCTCTGTTCTCCAGAGAGATCCATTGCCAGAATCTGTTAAATTCTTGCTGTAACTCAAGTTGACTCTCAGAGAACTATGTTGATGATTGAAACTATCATCTTCATCGGATGTGTCTGACGCAAATATCTTTCTTTTATTGAAACTCATCGTTGACCTATCATATAAATTGTAGGAATATACATTACATTCATATTCGCTTTAATTTACGTTATCTTATATAATTATTACGTACTTACATTAAAAACAAGTCAAAGAGTAGATTATGCTATTCAAACGTTCTAAGGAATACTTTCACATGATATAATCATTAAGTTTTCTTTTGTAAACAATGAATATTACTTATTACCACAAATAACTACTTTTGTCATTGTTATTCAAAATATTAATTAATCTTTACTTCGAAGTAAAGATCCGTTTTCGTATTCGCAGGATCGCGGCCATGTTGGCGTTGCCAATAAACAAAAGATTATCCATGAGACTGTCCACTTTAAAAATATGAAATAGCCAATCATAGCTATTCCTTAAAAGAATGATTGTGATTGGTCAGTTTTATAACTACAAATATTATTAAACCAGTTACGCATAATGTAGAGAACCCTAGAATTTATCAAATATCCCTACTCATGAGCAGGTGCAATCGGTGTTCATACACCAACACAACAACAATGTCGAGAGGAGCTGGAGAAGCTGAGAGAAGTGACAGGCAGTGAACAGCATGGTGGAATCCTTCCACCATGAGTGAACAGGCCCGCACAGGCACACAGCTATACAGTGCAGGCACTGACAAGTGACAGGTTAACTTGTAAGCCGCGAAAGAGTGCGAAAAAACATGAGCAGATCGCAGGTACAGTGTCCATACGTTAATATCTTTTCCTCGCGAGACTGTGATTTTGCATGTAATGTGGGATTTATCGATCTTATCATTTTTTAACAATTAAAAAGCCGTGTATTTAAGAAGAAAAACTTTGCCGCATTATTAAATTGCTATACGAAGAGCTGATAACAAGAGAGATGCCGTACAGTCAATTCACGAAAATATATAAAGCTGCGTAATGTTACGAAAAAGGAAAAGAAAATATAATGTATCGCTTCGTTTGATTTTATTGCGCAGGAAAAATCTGTCGAAGAGGATGAAATTAATCTCTTCAATCCCACTATATTGGATAGATTGCCGATATCACATGTTGCTGAGTTACTTATAAGACCGTTAAAGAGTACGGATTATGACAAAGGTAATTGGATGTCATATCCAATAAATGAGAATAGATTGGATTCAGATTTTCAGAAATATACATTTGCGAATATTAAAAGAAATTCTTTTCAATTCGAATATATCTATTCATTTATAGAATTTATTGCATGAAGCACATTTTTATGCCTTTCAATCTAAAAATAATATCAGCTTTTTCTGTGAATGCTGTTCAATTCAAAATTCTGAATAGAAAATGCAGTTTTTCAATTTAATAAAAAAAAATTTTTTCAGTTAGATTCAACAGACTTAAAATGTGCTAAAAAATTTCCATTTTAATTCATTCTTCATTATTGGATATAGAGAAAGAGAGAGAAAGAGAGAGAGAGAAGAAAGAAAACATTTTTTTAATTGCATGTATTATTTGTTAAACTTTTATATAAATATATTTTTATATTTTATACAATAAGGCCCAGCACACAATGAAGAGATAGATATTAGGAATAAATATTAGACAAATAAATAAATGAGAATAGAGATTAAACATACAATATACATTACATAATACAAATAAGATATAAAGCATTATAATTTATAATTATCATATTTTATTTGTATGTTATTAATATAATTATTTCTAATTTTCTTGTTTGTCTAATATATTTAATACTTATTTCTAATATTTTTTCCATTATGGATAGAACCTATTTGACTCTTTCTTGCAAATAATTCAATTATTTATGAAATTTTGTAGGTTTTTTAGTTCTTCTATCACAATTGACAGATGTTGGAAATGTTACTAAGGAACAATTCTTAAGTAAGTCTTTATAATTGGGAATTAGATCTGTAAATAGTCAAACTAATTATGCTTTCTTCATTCTGTATTTAGATAGATTCTATAGTATGAAGACCGCTGGTGGTTACTATGTTATCGTCATCGAGGATGTAAATTCTGGAAAAGTGATAGCATGCGCGTCTTTAGTCGTAGAACAGAAATTTATTCATAATTGTAGCTTGGTACGTAATTCTGCATATTCTTCAAGAATTAGAAATGAATAATCCTATATGCATATATTTTTTATAGCGAGGACGCCTGGAAGATGTAGTGGTTAACAACAATTACAGAGGGAAATCATTGGGAAAATTAGTAGTTTCGATCGTAGTACAATTAGCTCGTTATTTTCGTTGTTATAAATTATCCTTGGACTGCGTAGATCGTTTGGTACCATTTTACGAGAACATAGGCTTCAAGCGGGAAACTAACAATGCCAATTATCTCAATATGCGCTTCCATGGTGAAAATGCCACTGAACAGTCTCATTTATAGTAACTGATACAGTGTGACTTTATCTGTACTGATAATCACTTGATTACAGTACTTGTTCGCAGTATAGCATACATATGAACTGAAAAACTGAAATATTACAATCTGAGTTACATTAAGTTTAAAAGAGATATTTAGATAACAAATATTTCTTGTAATTTGTTCTCTCTATGAAGAGAATCTCATTACTAAAAAAAAACGAAGAAATTGATATGCTTTTTTATATATAAGAGAAACAATTTTCGTATTAACATTTGCATGAACTAAAATAAATTATTTTATATTCTTTTTTATATATTAACATAAGTATTACATAATAATGTTTGCGCGCACGCGCGTGCATATTCGTGCAATTTTGAAAAATAGATCCTACATATAAAATATACTGTCGCATTACATTATGGACTGTATAGGTTGTAAAAAAAATAATTGTTAAATAAAATAATTAACTTTTACTTAACATATGTATATTTTTTCATGCATATAATGTTAATAAATAATATTGTAGAAAACGTTTTTGGATGAACCTTTTTCTTACATTAGATAAGATTTACAGAAAATACTTTCATCATATTACTTGTAATATTTAATTTACTTAATGTACAATAGAATGATTAACATACGGCGCATTTACTTAAATCTTCTTCGCAGCTGGATTAGCTCGTAATTTCACTGCTCGTTTCGCCTCCATTTGCCTTTGCCTGGCCAATTTGCGCTCTTCTCTCTTCCTTCTAGCTTCTTCATATTTATTTCCACTAGGAACGCCTAAATAAAAAAAAATTTTCTCAATACTATATAAAAATATAATGAAACAACTTTGCGAGTATATTCAGAAATCAAATCAGATATACTTGGTTGCTCTAAGGGCTGAACATCTTCGAGAGATTGAAACTCCGAATCTTCCCATCCAACTTCGGAAGAATCATTTTTGTCTTGAACACCTTGGATTGTTTCTTCTTCCTACAATCCGAATGTTTTTTTCTGATAACGATATCAAATTACATGATCAAATAAATTCTCATTATTTATTCATGTTGTATATCCATAAGCATATGTATAGGATGTTTCAAAATTCGCATGTTGCAGTAATATTGAACTAATCTAGAATAAATTTCTCTTCGATCAAAAATTGGTTTGGGCAACATTAGTTTTACTGTTATATAATATTTAATATTAAATGTTAATCATATAAATTTTATATAACAAAACTATATATTTTTAGCCTAGCATTCACTCTTTATTTCCTTTAATCGCTTATCATTTAATACATTGAAATATTTTTATTAAACGAAAAATAGACTCTTAGATTAATCGAAGAGAATTCTGCTATTATAGACTTATTATTAAAACTTGTGGCTATTCACGTTTCGTATCGCTCGTATTAACATTTCAAGTTTGATAGGATATAAGAAGAACCTTGATTATAACACAAAAATATCATAAAAAGTAACAAACCGGTTCTTCCTCAAGGCTGGTCCACTGTTCATTAGCCTTAGGAGAGTGGCCGGATGGTGATATACTACTGACTGGATTCAATGGCACCGATGGTGTAGCGGTGGATTGCTGCTCCATATCTCCCCAATTATCGGCATCCCAACAATCCCAATCGCAATCGGAATTTGTATTTTGAGTGTTTTGCGTATCGTGCTCGTGATCAGGATCGAGGGAAGTCATGCTTGTCGCGCTGCTCGTCGTGGCAGTAGTGCTAGCGCTACTCTGAGAGCTGCTAGCTTGTTCTAAAATAATTAAATAAAAAAATGTTATTAATATATTAATATGTAAATATATTGTTAAACGAATTATTAGATAGAGTGAAAAAATGAGTATGAAAGTAAAGAAAATTAACCTAAGGAAGCAGGTTTATTTAACAAGATTCTGGATGTGCTATGAGCATTTGATGATTTTGGCGTATCTGACTGACTACGATAGAATTTTGCTGTAACTGCCGTAACGGCCCATCCGGCCCATGTCGCTGCGGCATTGCTAAGACTAGGTGTTGCAGTATTCACATCCGCCTCTGTAAATATTTTAATATCATTAGAGTTTAATTTTTTTTTCTTCAAAGTGGTCTCAAAGAATAAAATAAAATATGAATTATGAAATCCTAATGCTATATGTAATACTCACCCATTGATTCGCGAAGACCAGGATCTTCAGAGACTGTCTCAAGCTTTGATAAAAAACCTCGAATGATACGGAATGCATTGTCTCGTACACCTTTGTCCACATCTGTGGTAAGCGGACATAGAGCCGGTAGAATGCGATTTGCGACTTCCTGCAGAAGGAAATATTGCTGTGTCGCAGCTAGAGCTAATATACTCGCAATTCTGGCTGGAGGAAAAGAATCGCGAGTTCCACGAATAAATGCGCCAATTAATACCTAAAATTAATTTTATTAAGTAATTTAAGAATAACATTTTATAAACATATTATGAATTGTAGTATTTTATTAATTATAAATTGTTTTATCATTTCTTATTAATATTTAAAATATATATAAAGGGTCTCTCTCTTGATTAATAAAAATTTTAAAAAATTTAAAAAATAAGCAGATGTCTAAAAAATAAAAGAATATTGTATTAAAATTAAACAAAGATTGACGATACCTTCTGCCTTATCTGAGGGTGAAGATGTTGAGCAATTTTTCCAAGGCAAACTGTGGTATTTGTGCGAATACCGCCTTGTTCGTCTTTTGACTGAAGTTTCGCAAAGTATCTTAAAGTCTCGACATTAAGATTATTATAATCTAACTTTGGTGCTAAATGTACGACCGATCTTATCGTTTCTTCCCTAATTGCCGGGTTTGTATCGAGGAAGCCCCTTGCTACCTACATATTTAATATATAAAATAATTTTAGTTTTTGTTTAAAATAATACAATATTATATGATACAAAATACTTAAATTTCTCAAATTCAATATGCACTATCTTTATAGATTTTATAATATTATTAAAGATATTATAATATTATTAAAGATATAAAATTACAACAATATTTTTATTATAATATAATTACAATTAATAAAATATAATATCCAAAAATTGAAATTTTTTTTACCTGAGGAAAAATGGCTTCATTAACAGTAGCTGATTGCAAGTGGTCGACGAATCGATCCAATTGTTGCAGCAATCGTAATCTCGTTGCTCTGTCATTCGATGCAAATAATTTAACGACACAGGGCACTACTCGACGCTGATACTCGACGTCTGGTAATTGAGAACCCAGTTGCAGCAACGGTGGTAATACGGCACTTCCTGCATCTCCAAATTCAAAAGCAGCCAGTAATTGCGGCAGAATCTTATACCTGCCAACGCCATCGGGAAACGAATCCAATTGTGTCGCCAACTGCGAGAAGAATCGTCCTTTCTCTCCTCTTTCTTTCATCTGAATCTCCTCTAGGAATAAAAGGGCATCAACAAGATTGTTCTTAAAAAAACCGCCGTTACTGCGACAACGCGCTATCACATCTGCGGGATTTGGTCTTCCTTCTGGATTAGTTCCTGTTAATTCTCGATATACTGTCGTTATTTGTTTCGGAATCTTCAACAAATAAATAAAAGGTATAAATGCATAAAGATGTATAAGAGATTTCGACAAAAAGATGTGATGTGAAGCAGACAACTTACTTGACCTGTAATTTTAAGTTGCGAAGTGGTGTTGAGGGTACCATTGTATGTTTCCCATATCAAACAACCAAGTCCCCACATATCAACTGAACTATTTTTTATTTATTTATTAGTTTTATATTACAAATATTAAATTCAAATTCATTTGTTTGTAACTACTACTATATTGTATATTGTTTCATTGTATCTACTACATTTATCATTATATTTGAAGCTTTGCAGCAAGAGACACATTGTAACATTTCATCTTTATTTAACATTGGCAATCAAGACATAATGATTCACTGTGTTACATTGTAACATCATGTCATTTGTGTCCCTTGCTGGAAAGCATCTATTATTAAATTTAGATAAAATATAATCATTTACCATTTAGTTGCAGGCTTTGTACTTTCTTTAGCTTCTGGTGGTTGATATACTTGGAAATTAGAAGGTAAGAAATTGTATGGTGTGTCCACAGCTGTCATGTATTCAACCCCACCGAGTTTCCATTCACCGCTCTCTTCGTTAACGAACACTGTCCACAGATTGACATTATTATGCCGTAAATTCCCATCGTTATTTAAGAAGTTAAGTGCCCTCTGCCATCAAATTGAAATAACATGTATTATAGATCTTTTCCATGTGTTGCTTAAAATTCTTTGGCGTGATCTATAATGTTTCATTTATACATACTGTGATTTGAAATATGCCCCAGGAATAGTACAATTCCTTCTTAGACTCATTTTCCGAATTACATTTTTGCGTCAAGCGATTAAATAACGGTTCTACACGCTCTGTGGCTAAGTAAACCATTTTGTCAGTCTGAAGTAACAAAACATAGATTACATTTTTACACTAAGAGTATATTGCTAATACATGGCATAAGCCAATACAATTCATACTTCGAGACTATCAAGATATGCAAGTATGCTTGGATGTCTGAGTGTCTTGAGTCTTTTTACAGCCGAACGGGCAATATCCAGTTGCTGTTCTCCACCATTTTTAACATCAAAGACAAAAACTGAAACATCCTCACCCATTGTGGTGCCCTGTGGAAGATTTTGTGAAGATAAAAATAATATTTTTACAGATAAATTAGAAGAAAGATTGACTATTGCCACATAATTAATTAGGATCTTTTATAAATTACAAAATGACAAAATATGACATTGGACACTTTTCATTTGGTGATATAAGTCGACTTAAATATCATTCTGTCTTTGTTACTTATTGAATGTCAAGAAAGAGAGAATGACATTTTGTGTCAACTTGTGTCACTAAACAGAAAGCACTCATTGTGTTGCAATCAAGGCTAACCCTAGCTTTCCATTTCGTGCTTCTTATCTTTTGCTTTTTTGCTTCTTTGCAGTTTCATTGACATGTTTCTTATCCTTTTTGAAGTTCATCAACTTTTACCTCGGGTGATAGAAAATGAAGAACATGAACAAAAATAGACAGCAAAGAACATATTATAGATTAGACTTTAAAGTTGACAAACTTTAGGAAGAAACACATAAGTCGATAAAATAGTTGCAAAAAGAAAAAGAGATATAAAATAATAATAGGAAACAAAGAGCACATTGTAGATTAAGTCTTTTAGTGCTTTTCTAGTGTCATTCTTACATTCAACTGAATTACCTTTCTTTTAGCTCTATGTATTGTCCAAATGCTTTTGTTATCCAAACCAGAAATAGGCTCTCCGATGTCATATGGGAAATCCTTGGCAGGATCTCTCGAGAAGAAGGACCACATTGTGGAGCTTATATACTTTTATCTACACATACAGCAGACCGCACTCAACGTTGCTTCAACTTATCATTGGTACTGACAGCAACGCATCAGAACTGTAAAAAGTACAAAAGTCTTTGCTTTTTACGCATTGCACATGCAGAAACAT